GCAAATTGGCATTTAGCGAGTTTTAATACCTGATTGGTGATTATCTTTAAGAAAGAGTCAGGCGACTAAGCCGTTTGCGTGGACTCAAAGTGATCTTCCTGAGCTTGAGTCGCTATGATAATCTCTAATAAAAGCAGATTTCTATGCCATATGGGATCAACAGCGACCTGTGTGTCCAGCTACCCCCCAGGCCCCATAAACAGTCATATGGGCCACACAGCACTTCAGAGCTGAGGCTGGTCTCGCTCCTTAGACACTCAGATGGACTCCCGAGACAACAAAGGCGCTCCTTGGCACCTCCGACCCCATCGGCGATAAACACGACATGACTCAGCTATACTTTCAGACAAAACAACTCCAGCGAAAACCTCATTGAACAAAACAATAAATGAAACAAAAAAAAAATAAAATCTGACTTTCACTTTCCCCGCCATTCACGTTCACCCACGTTCCATCCTGTTTCTCAAGGGTTTTTTCCCATCTCTCTGATTCAACTTGACTGTCGTCATGGCGACGGGGGGAAGCAGACCGAGCGCATCTGATGCCCCTCGCGGAGGGGAGATGCGTGGGGACAGGTGTGTGCGTCAGACGGGTAAGGGCGCTCGCTGTCTGGCACCACGGCTCTGGGGAACTCACGGACGAAGCACGAGATTTCGCCGGCAAAATTCCAAGACGACATCGTGTCGTTTTTTACGGTAATATCATGCCTCGCCCCACGGACGGGGAGTGATTTGCCTCTTAATGCACCTCCTGCCTTGTGCCTCCAATCTGTTTATCAACTGCAGCTCCACCTTGAACCACCTCTCCGGCAAGGTGAGATCCCACACCTAAAATCTCCCGATACGTACAAAAGCCGGAGGAAACGAAAAAATGGAGCAAAAATGATGGAAGTATTTTGCAACAAGTCAAGGTGGCATAAATAGGAAAGACACACCCCGTCTCTGTTTGGGACATGCACCTTCAGGGATTTAAAACCAAAAAAAAAAAAATGATAGATTGCTAAGTGCTTCGATTTTACCGATCCGTCTGAGACGAAGGTGCAGCACAGCGACATCGGGGGCGGCACGCAAATCAGCTTAAATGCTGATGATACAAATTAAAAATTCAGGTGTTTAACTAAGGAAAGCAAAAATAGTCCTGCTTTAATATTCATTAATGGATTAGCAAAAGGACTTCTAAAGCTGTGAGTCAATTTACATTTGCATGATGTCTGTACCGACTCTGCTCAAGTGTGATATATTCCCTTTGAAATGGAAAATAAAGAGGAAAGTTTTATCTTGTGTGTATAAGACAATGAAGACACGGCAAAATAACTCAATGCATTCAAAACAGCGCTTGCATCAGAAATATTTCTGCCGCATCCTTTCAATTTAGTCAATGGTAATAAGTAGCTGATGATTTCAAGACTTCAAATTTTTGGGGTATGAATTCTGTCCTACATTATCCAATGCAACTAAAAAGCTTCTCGAACTTCTCATGTCTCATATTATGAGATTGGGGGTTGGTGGGGATTTATTTTGGCAATGTTTGTTAGCCCCTCCTTTGCGGTTGCCTTGACAGATCCCAAGAGTTGCCCGGCCGGCCCTTAGGGCCTGAAAATTGACCATATCTTGAGAAAAGATATAACAGCCAGTGTCTGCTCCATCTACCGTGTCTCCTTTGACAGCCCAGTGCACCTGACACAAAGTCCCCAGGAGACCATTTCCCACAATGCATCACACAGTACTATACAGTAGTCAATTCAATTTAGCTAAGTTCAGTATATTTTTAGACAGGGCCCTTTGCAACAAAGTTGCGGTAAACTGATTAGCAAAGAATAAAAAACAATGTTACAAGCATGACCCAGCACCATATCAGACAAACATGACCGCGTTAAAAATATTAATGTGAGAGCGAACCAGAAGACAACACAGAACATAATCAGTATCAAAACAAAACATGTGTTCAAGGCTATTTGGGATGCCAGCCTTCATGTGCATGGTGACCTTACATGTGTTATTAAAAACAGAAGCGTAACCAGTACCATCTTCCGGTTCCGGATCAGTAGGACAGCACTGGCAAGCAGCAAAAAAGCAGACAGAGGTTCAGAATGGATGCTGAAATGTGGCCTTCATACATAAGACAGTATGGAAAATCAGAAGCATTGGATTACAATCAGTCTATATGATGAAGGAAGCTTTCTTCAAACGGCATGGCAGATATTTACATTGAATGAGGGTCTTGTACTTTCCAGGGTGTAACCATGCAGTATATGTAGTTACAGGAAAATTCCAGAAAAGCCAACTGCTTATAAACAGTTCTGTGTCACTGGTCAACCAATTAAGCCAAGAATGACACAAAACCATGCTTATGTTCCGACCACTGTCAAAAAGACCAAGAATGTAAAACTGAACATACAGTAAAAACCAGGCTAAGCATGTAAAATTGACGCTGGCCCTCTGTAATTGCTGAATTACACCACTGTGTGTGTCTGTGTGTGTGTGTAGCCACTGGCTCTGTCTGGTTTCCGCCCCCAGTCATGCGTGTCAGGGAAGACACAACAAGCAGAGCATCATCCTGCGAGAGGCGCTGGATGTAACCTTAATACTGGTGCACGGTACTGTCACGTCAAATTAGCTGAGGCACGGAAGCAGCAGATGATGCAAGGTGGCCGGGGGCTGCAGGACTCCAGTCATTTCTCATCCATCGCATGACTCTCCGACGGGTCGGTTTCCGTGGTGATTAAGACACAGGAATGTGAGTGTGCACTTGACACCATTCTGTGTTTACAACCCAACTGAGACACATGTGGTTATGAACTGAGTCTGTCTATCCCATAATAGCTCGTACAAAAACATTCTGGAAAGACGTCAGGTGAACCTGATTACCGCTCCATCCAATATGATGTACAAAGTTCTTTTTCAGCCATTTGTTTTGTCCGTGCTTCTTTACTAATCATCAAGTGCGGGATGCGATCGGCCTCCTTCCGCTTTGAAGTCCAAAAACGGAGCAGCGCACGCTGCCCTCCTCCCCGTCGTGGGGATGTCCTCCATTGTACTCTCATTCCGGCTCCTCCTTTGTTGTCCTCAGACGAATTGAGTTACGCCCAGCCAAATTGGGGGGGGGGGGGGGCATGTCCCACGGGTATCAATCACAGGAGCACAAAGGCCAGAAACGGCCGGCTGTCCTGACAGGGCAGATTAAATGGAGGCCCAATGAAAGAGGGGCGTTCTCTGATAACACACAGAAATGACTTACACACGTAACGCGGCGGCTGATTTTAAGGTCGGATGCCGTTTTTCACAAGTCCACACTGCTAATTAAAGAGGATGCATCAAGTGAGCCCCGTCCCTCAGTCTCTCGTCCGTCTGATGCCATCCCAAATTAGCCAAAGGTGTCCCAGATCTACAGTCCCAAGTAAAAAGTCAAGTGCCAAAAAAAGGAGGCAATGCCATCATTAACAGAATAAATATCTATATTTCTATCTGGTGGTAACTCATCAGCAGTGCACTGCTGATGAAACAGGGAGCCATTTAACAATCGCGATAAGGTGGGATTTTATCTCTTTATGTCTGCGCCCTGCAGTATCACTGCTAATGAGAGATTTAATGGCACCAATTATATCTTCCTTTCTTCCCTCCTGCTTAAACCCCTCTGTCAGTTCCTGTAGCAAAGCCTTCTCTGTCAGCTGAGCTGCACTGCTACAAGTCTGATGGATTCACAGCATGACAATGTGACCTTTGACCTCTGGGCGCCACTCAGCAATACCACGTTGCGGTTCTTCACCGGGGCGACGGCGGGGAAGACACGCTCGCTTGAACAGGGTATATGAGGGTCTGTCATCCAAAAGAGCTGCTTTTTTATCCCCGCTTGGAGGATCAATGCGGTTGCCATGGCAACACTCCAATATAAGGTTTCTGGTTGGTCTGACGCACTCGTTGATCAGGAACGCTATATGTACACGCAAGTGTCCTTGTTCTTGGTAGCAATCAACTAATAGGTGGCCAACAGAACAACATGGAATCGGTGACTCATCCCATGTATGTTCGTACTTGATGTTCTACCGGGGCGATGTTCTGAATTCATTGTGGCGATTCTGCAAATGGCACGACGTGACAATGCGAATGCTTGATTTCACCGGCATTATGATTGCAGCTCTTCTGAAGCTTCTGCAAACATTTGAAGGCATTCTTTAATGTTCTGGTTTACCTGGTTTCGAAAAGGCCTGTCCCTATGTGCTTTGACCACATTAAATACCACATTAAACAGAGAAGAATACATATATCAATAACGCATGAATTTTTCCGACATATATATGCAATGTAAATAATATATATAACATACAGCACAAGAGAATCCTGATGTCATTGTGCATATTACATAATAATTTTAGGATGACTGGGATATATACAGTTGGATAATTTTTTAAATATGTGTTTTGTATTTGAACCAGCCGCCAAATGTAATACTTAAGATCGCAAATCTGCATGTTCAGCGGTGAAAGACGGGCATCGGTAATCAGAATCAGAAACATCTCCATTAGTATTTACCCACGGTGCCCGGGAGAAGCTGTGTCCACGCGACAAAGCCTCCTGACACAATCTGACCTGCGGTGACCCCATCTGTCGTTTCCCAGGATGAAGTGCGCTGACGGCTCGAAAATTCAATGGCCAGGGTCTGTAGTCAATCAGAAAGTTCCGAGTTGAAAGGGCCACCTTTCATATTTGTAGCTTGAAAGGAGGGAAGTTATGCAGATATGCACTCATTAAATAAAATGCCTTGTTGAAAAAAATGCTATTTTAAATTACAGCGACAAAGAATACTGCCCTATTCACAGCAGAACATTTCAAAGAATGTTCAAATCTAAATTTGGAAAGTACAACTCCCCCATGTTTTCTGATTGCATACAAGACTCCACCAAGAGTTAAGGCTTGTCGTGACTCAAGCCTTGCAGGGAACGGAAAGGTTACAGTAGACTTACGTCACCAAGGGGAACAGAAAGAATTTCAGTTGAGTCGATATCCTGTGGCTCCCTTGGCAATAGCAGAGCTGCCAGGACCTTTAAATGGAATTATGTTTCAATACCACATAACACGTTCTGAGCGGACAATGGAGATCGCTGGGGCAACGGAAGCTTCCTCAGGGAATGGAACACGAAAGGGGCGGCCCTGGGTAAACTCTCTTAACAATGTACAGTCGAGGAAGTGATTAATATGGGAAATTGGCCTAGCTGGATCAAAGCGGCTGCCGTCCTCATGCCAGCAGTCTCCCAATGACCATGACTCAGCGGAATCGTGAGTTAACAGCATTTAACCCATGATACCACCATCAATGGTAGGGGAGGCTAGCTTAAGTCAACCGGTAGAGGGGGGTATTTGGGTTTTCTTTGACAACTGCTTCCAGTAGGCAACAGCAGTCAGTGTTAGTTATTACTTTGCTGTGACTGAGCCTCTTGGCTTGTCCACCACTGTAAATAATTATGTTGTTACATATCTTATGTCTGCTTAAAAAGAAGTATCCTGTACTAGTCTTTGTGGTTGCCATGATATACATGTGAATCTTTGAAGATGATGATAAACATGGACTGAAATGCTAGGTATCCTTTCACCACTAACACAGTCTCACACACACACATTATGTATCTATATCTTTGTGGGGACTCTCCATCCATTTCTATGGGCATAACTCTAATCCCAACAATGACAACCTGTTTTATCACATTGTGGGGTCGTTTGGATCCCAAAATGTAATATATAGATGACCACATACACACACATACACATAAATGCACACATACAGTAATGGAGGAGATCTGTCATATAAGGGCCAATCAAATCAACCTCAAGCAAATAGCTCAACATCATGTGATCTGAATGTATATTTTACCATTAATATTTTACTTGATTGCAGGCAGCACCTCAATGCTTGCTGCTGCAAAGACCCCTATACTGTATGTGAGCATCTGTTTCAATAACCCAGCCTAATCTCCGGGCATCTCTATAAACTGGCTAATTGGTGATCCCACACTAATTGGAGCTGATTACAGGTTTAAACTTCCCAGGTCGTAAAGGGTGTGATATTGGGGAAGACATAAAATTATTTAAATACACAGGTCTATGTTCTCTCAGCGCCCCCCTATCCCCCTCCCCCCAACCTGGGCCTCCATGGTTCCTATGCCCCTGCATTTGCCACATGCCGATCAGGTTTGAGTTTGTATATTTCAGGGGTCAGAAGGTAAGGAAACCAGCCCATGACATCGCGAACACAAAAAAAAGGTCACAAGACACCAGCCACAGTGAGCTGGGAAAGTATAACATGCACAGAAGGGCCTGCTGGCGAAAAAGGGTCAACTAGGCAAAAAAAAAGGAATTTACGCTGTGTAATCATGCACCGATACTCTCTTCAGATGTCCCAGAACAAGGACATAGGACACCGAGCCTCTGTAATCAGGTGATACGGCTGCAGCGGGCCGGGAGGCAGAGGAGTGTTCGGAGACGGTGAAGGGGAAGGCAGGCCGGCCGGGGAGGACACCCAACACCCCGGCCCTGAGAAGGCAGGCCGGCCGGGGAGGACACCCAACACCCCGGCCCTGAGAAGGCAGGCCGGCCGGGGAGGACACCCAACACCCCGGCCCTGAGAGAGCCATGAGCCGGGGCCTTTCATTCACCACCAGCGGCTCTCTCAGCGCCACAGAAAGATCACATGTCAGGTAAACCGATCTGCCCTACAAAGCGCATCGCCCCCACCCACCACCGTCTGCTTACATAGGTCCCACTGGGACCACCTGCCTCCAGCGGAGGTTGGATGGCAACGAGGGGCGTGGTTGAGTTAGAGCTAGTGGAAGACAGGTATCATGCACACTGCAAATTCAATTTTAAGAAAATACTAGTCTTCACCCTACAATGGGTTGGCGCCCCTTCCTGGGATGTTCCCTTCCTGGGATGTTCCCTTCCTGGGATGTTCCCTTCCTTGCACTCGTAGCTTCTGGGAAAGACTCTGGACCCCCACGACCCTGCATAGGACAAGTGGGTACAGAAAATGGATGGATAGATGGATGGATGGATGGAAGGAAGGATGGGCTATTCTACACAAGGTAACAAAGTTGAAGGAGCCCACATACAATGTATTACTGTGTGGGTAAACAACTCAACACATCTAGCCAGCTTGAGGACACCACTGCTCTTCACAGGACGCACAGGGGTCAACCAAGATCTCACTGTTAGCCGTCAGCCATGGTCTACTTAACTGCACTACTCTGTACTCTGTAGTCTCCTGGTAATAAGGTTGATTTTTGATGTGTAAGAATGACGCAACATCGGTGTGTATATATATATATATATCAGTATATCCCCATAAGGTAGACCTCTTTGATCGACAGGAACATGAGCACAGTTCAAGAGGGAGGTAGACGGCAGTATTGGTGCTGTCAATCACGCGGCCCGTTTCGTTCCCCCCCCCACCCCTTCAATCGCTCGACAGCTCCACACAGAATTAAAAGCCCCTTTGTCTGACGCCGGGATTGGCACACGTGCCGGCGGCAGCCTCGTGCAGCACGGCCGACCTCGAGCTCACCCTGTGTCATTAGAAGAAGGAACACAGTGTTCTGGCAAAGTCTCTATCCTGAGGCCTCTCACAGGCCAGCTCACCTAATGATTGTTTTCCCACTCCTTGGCTCCGGCCTGGATGTTGCCATGGCAACCCTCCCTCACCAGGCCAGCCGCTCCGACGGGCAACGTGGGGCGCCGGGCTTGAGACACTGCGGCTTCTGCTGTCATTGCCGCTGTCCTCTTTCACCCCGCCCGCCATCGGTGTCTCCCCCTCCACCCCGCTGGCTGCTCCTTTCGTGGATAGGAATGGGGGGGGGGGGGGCGGTGTATTTTGGCAAGGCAACAGAGACAGGACTCCAGCGTCATTAAACCCTCAAGAACCCCAGAATGCCTGTTTCGGGCCTCTCTGTATGAACTGAGTACTGAGATTCCACTTGGACTGCAACACATTTATAAATGTGAGAAATGCCATGAAAATGGGGTCAGCAGACACCTTTCCAGGAAAGCTACAGGTAAACATGTCTACAGGGCTGTCCCTTTCCAGGAGAGCTACAGGTAAATACGTCTACAGGGCATGGATCATCACGCTGTCCCAAAACAAACACGCCCACTGCGGGCTAGGATGGAGGCCAGGCGCTGTCCAAAATGTGATACACTGCTTATCCTCAGCTAGCCCCACTAGGACGTGTAGGAGGGAGGGGCTGTTTACATGCCCAGACCGTACAGGCCCTGTGGTCCTGCCTTGGGATTGGTCCAGTCCAGTCCTCCCACCCGGCCGTCTGTTTACTCCCCGAGGTCATCCTGTTTATTTAATTCGGTTATAAAACATCCTTAATGACTTATCTACCGAGTGTGATTTACGAGCCAAGGGGAAATGATTTAGTTTCCCAAGCATTGGGTTGGGGGGGGGGGGGGTTTGGTGCAACACGGAGCTGAAGAACTCGCAGGAGGTCGGGGGAAAGAGCAGCTTTATGGAAATTAGACGTGCAGTCAAACTGCATGTTTCAGAAGGACAACTGACCACGATCCCATTTTATCCAGTTTTGAGGTTTTGAGTTTTGCATAGAAATCCCTCTTTAACTAATACAGTCTTAATGGTCGTGTGGAGGTCAGAGAGTCTGCATGCTAATGGTATTTAAAGATCAGTAATTCAAAAGTACAATTGACCAGTATCCAGTATTATCTCATTTTATTCAGACAAATGATTTAACATCCATGTTCCTGTTGGAATATGGCAGAACAAAGTAAATTCATGAGCTGGGTCAGTTCTGCCCAGAGATATCACAGCTATCATGTGTCCAGCAATGAGGCCGAGCAGGCTGACTCAAAGCTCATGCCACAGATTTAGGAACTGGGCCTGTGAACTTTCAGCTGAGACTTTCTAGAACATTCCACTGGTAAACAACCTGCTGTATAAATGGATTTTTTAAGTATAACACTGCATGCTATGCAAGTTTCTTCAGATCAAAGCACCTGGTAAGAAAATAAATAAATAAAACGCTATTCCTAGTTCTGCCTCAAAACGGGACGTTCTTCTGTCAGGCAGCCAGCCGCTGGCCCGGTTATCTCGAGAAAGTACTTTGGGCCCAGCTGCTCGGAGTCTGGTCCGCACGTCACATCCTGCGAGCAAAGTCCAGAGGTTCCAGCTGACTCTTGAGGTCACAGAGAGTTATTAAAGTCAGGACAACAAAGCCCTGGGGACAATGAGCCCATTTCATCAAGTCAGATGATTTTAATGTAGCTGGGAAATAAAGCATTACAGATTTAATCACTTTGGTAAATAACTGCAACAGGGTTCTGCTGGTTTATCCCAGTACATTCTGGCACCGTGACCAATCAAGTATTTAAAGCACCTTCGGATTTAGAGAAACTCCTATATGTATAAACTGAAAATTCTTCATTTTCAGACAGCCGTTTTGTGTCAATACTGGTTCCAAGGTAGGTTGTTAAGTTGGTGACCACTGTTTGGAACCCAAACTGGAAAAACAGATGTCTGTAAACACGTGTAATCTTTCCCAACTTCCCCCTGAGTTTCCATTTCTTTGGCTTCCCTGATGGTGCAGGGAGGGTTGTGAACCTTAGTCAGTAATTGTAACATCAACGCTGTTTGGCAATCCTGAAGTGAGTCTGCTTAAGGTCTTCAGCTTCCTTGATTCCAATGCCATGTTTTCAGTAGTGTTGGGGGGGGGGGGTGTATACAAGGCCTTCTCATGGACAGAAAGTATTTACAAAGGTCTCTGTTGAGAAGAAGTGCCATGTTATTTCCATTCATCCCAGATGGAGGTAGCTAAGGAGCATGCAGTGATTACAGTGTGTAAGGAGCATGCAGTGATTACAGTGCGTGGCCACACCCACCACATGACAAACCACCTCAGGGACGAGAGCCTGAGTGCAGTCATGTGGTTTGTTTTCTGGTGGCTGGAGTGCCAATCCTGCCACCGACCCCAAAGTTTGTCCCTGTAAGTTGGAGAACCTCCTTATAGGGCTTGATGATGATTAAAGTCACGTCCAGGAGGAAGCAATTGCAGGTTAAAGGCCTTGGTCAAGGGCCCAACGGAGTAGAATCACTCCAGGGGTTCACAGGATTTGAACCAGCCACCTTCCATTTGCTGGCACGGGTCCTTTAGCCTAGGAGCCATCACTCCACCCAGATGAAGCTGATACTGATACTGACACTTACTGCCCAGATGAAGAGCCTTAAACATTTCCTTTGACTGCCTAAGACTTTTGCACAGTATTATAAATGTGGGTCTTACAATTAGGGGCCTGCAAAGACAGCTGGAGTGACTAGAGCAGGTAGGCAACCCTGATCCTAGAGTGCCGGAATCCTGCAGGTTTTCAGTCCTACCGGATGAGTTACTATCTGCCTGAGATCAGGTGTGGTTCATCAGAGACCATGTAGGATGGAAAACCTACTGGCTACCGCCGCTCCAGGATCAGGATTGGCTACCCCGGGATTGGAGGCTCTCTGGCGGCATTGCAGACCTGGCTGGCATCACACAGAAGTGGGAGGTTATGCTTTGTCCACAGTATGTGACTCACAGGAAGGTATGCATGCGTGGGAGGTAGAAGGACGCCGGTGAGATTCCAGGTTAAGAGGATTAGGCTGGAAGGCAGCAGCAGCGAAGTTAAAATAAAAAGGACCCCCCCCCCCCCGCCAGCTGTCTTTAACAGGAGCTTGGGCGCTTAGCAACCGGCTGGAGGGCATCAGAACCAGTGTCGCAGTGAACTGCAATGGCTTTAAGGGGGTCTGTGTAGCCCCCACACATGCTGTAGAGGATGATCCTAGGAGCGGTTCAGGGCATTTAAAGTCCCAAAATAAACCCCAAAGCCTTGACGTTCACCAAACCTCACAGGGCTATATGTGTGTCTCCTGAGTGCTATCCCACTACACCTCAGTCCTGGAAAACCTTGGCATCAACCTCAAAGGAAGCACCAGTGAACGTAGCCTTTATCATGTCTTTGCTAATATGGATTCAACTGAGCCTTTTCCAGCTGCTTAGAAATCCCTCTTCGACCTCCCCCGTCATGTGTTAATGGCCATGTGGAAGCCAGCCTGTCACACACTAATGGGATGCCCACTCCGTGTCACATCCTGGGATGCATTTCCGGTCCACCCCGATCGTTAAAGTTTCTCAGGTCATTAAGTGGCAGCTCTATTCGAACTGCAACAGTGAACTTTACGGTGAACTGCATTGCATCATGGGGGTTTAGGATGTAGCCATCAGTGTGGAGATTTTAGGCTGAAGTTCGGCAAAAAAAAAAAAATCACTTGACATTCGAGCAAAGTAATTAGGCATAATCTGTACTTACGGCCCAAAACGCTAAAAAATGTTCTGTGTTGTGGTGGCAGGTCCCAGCAAAGGGTTAAAGCTCAGGCCCCTCATATCCTGCACTGCACCATCTGAACAAGCAAGCGGATGACCTGACAATAGTAGGAGTGTGGGGGGGGGGGGTTGCAGGGACAGAGCCAAACCAAGGGAAGAGAAATGAGGGCAGCCATGTGACCGCACGAGGGCTGCAGGCAAGCCCCAACTGCGGCAACGGTTCAGGGAAATGGGGGCCATTTGCATGTGACTGATTCAGCTTTGTTTATCACTTTCATCATCGCCCGCTCTGCCCCCGAGTCTCCTGCTCAGACTTCCCTTTCTCGCTCTTTCTCGCTCTCTCTCTCTTTTTTTGTGGTGCAGTGTTTTTCTTTTCCTGCTGGATCCTGACCACACCCACGCACATCCACCCTGCTAGCCAGGGCAAAGGCATCCCAGGACAGGGGAAGCGAGAATATTGCTAGTCACTCCCCCCAGTTAATCCATGCCCCCCCAGCCACTCTGCCCGGGACGAGAGTCACGCCACGCCATCTCCCAGAGGGCAGGCCTCACGTCTAAAAATGGAAGCGTCCCAAGATCACACCAGGATTTCCCCCCCGCCCACCGTGTCACTCTGGCCTGCATTAAAGTCACAGAGCGCAGAGCTGTGTGCTATTTCTGCTCACAATGCCTTCCCATGCATCATGTGCACTAATATCCCCACAAGCAGCTCGAGTACTAAACAAACAAATCCCATCAACAATGACCTAACTGTGCACAGAGTCCAAAATAAGCACAGAGTTACGTTTTAATCTTTGTTCAAACGACACACAAAAACTTGATTGTTCAGATGATCCTTTTGTCCAAACCTACATTATCTTGCCCTCTGTACAGTACAGTAGTCTGTTCTACTCATCCCGGTCTGCGTAACTACTTGTAAGTGTTCAAAGGTTCTATATTCCACTCTCTTAGCCATTGCACAATTGCCCCAGTCCCCAAGACACCGGGTCCTATGGCTTAAACAGCATTTCCACTGGTATTTCCACAATTTCTACTATTGCCTTCATCCTCTTTCAGACACAGTCAGGCATGAGAAAACAATTTTAAGGAAGCATGTGACAGAAACTCACAGGTTATTTATTGATGAGTTCTGGCTACAAGGTTCTTTTCAAAAATGTGTGTCACAGCTGTCAGTGACCTAGTAGGCACCATGTCAGGCGTCCAAAGCGTCCTGAGAGAAATCCAGGTAGACATAAATTTTAAGTTAATTAGGCAGTAACATAAAATATATCGGCTAGACGTACCCCTTCGGGTGAAAAGGTACTGCTTCATTGCTTTAGTTGAAGGACTTTGAAATGTGAAGCTGAAGCTGTCAGGGTTAGCAGCTACCCTTCATGTCTCTACCCTGTTTGGCCAGCAGGTGTCGCTGACCATCCCGCCTTTTCACTCCTGTCTAACCCTTGTGTGTTCCCCTGCTCCTCGGACTGCTGCATGGCTCAAGGGGTTGAGTGTGCAGCACAGAGGCTGTAGCCCTACAACCATGGGTTTAAAGTCAGCCTCCCTTGCTTTATTTAATTATTGATTTTTCTGTTGTTCTTAGTGTTTGTAGCTATTTTGCTTCTCTGTTTGGTTTGCCCTGTTTGTGTTTTACTGTAAGGTTCCTTAGTTTCATGCTAGTTTAATTGTAATCTGCCCCACCGGTTCATTATTGTCCCAAGTCCTCTCTGATTTGTTAATTTCACTATACTCTGCACCTGTTCCTGTTTGCCCTGGTGATCCTGTGTGTTTAGGTTCCTGCCTGTGTTCAGATCCTTAGTGAGTCACTGAGTTTGTGCTCTGTTCTCTTGCCTGTTTTTGATCCCAGTGTTGCCTTGTTCCTGGACCTTGTTTCCTTGTGGTTCCTTGTAGTTAGTTGTTGTTTTCCCCGTTTTGGTCCCTTCTGTTTTCTAGATTTACCCAGTTTCCTTAATAAACCCCTTTTTGTCGTGGAGCCGCAGGTGGATCGTCACCCTTTTCCCCACCTACTTCCTGCCTGCACCACGCCATGGTGCCACAACAGAAGCATTATGGTGAAGAGATGGATGAGCTGCTTTCTCGAAAAAAGAGTACACAGATCAGATTCGGGCTGCAGAGAACCCGTACACACACACACCTACACACAAATCACGCAACGGCCCACACAGAGCAGAACGCGACTGCAGCATTTGCAGCATTTCAAGTTCCAAAGAGTTCTAAAGCAAAATGATGTTGTGACGTGTTGGCTAGGCCAAACCTTGTGATCAAAGCATTGTCATGTGAGGATTGTCCTATCAAAATATGCTAGGGGCCATTGAACATAATTCTGAGCAAAAACATTGACATTGACTCTTGCCTCGGGGATGCCTCAAGAGTGAACTAAGGCTAAATAACACATTGGACATGTTCTGCTGGACAAAACCAATAAGAACCAAGGACTAAATTAGTATGTGGGGCTTGTATCAGGAGCATACTGTAACTCTAAGACACATCGAGGCTCAGATGAACTGAGGGTGCAGTCATCTAGAATGAGGTCCCAGTAACGTGAACTAGTTTCCTGGGCTCTTTGAAACCGTCCCTGCTGGTGCTCGTCCCTGCGGTCTCTCCCCCAAGCAGCCGATTTGGCCTAGATAGCCAAAAAGCCTTCCCATGTTATCTGGGGCATCCTCCTCCACATAAAAGGTGAGGCTCTTTGGGACCGAGAGCTCTAACAGTAGATCTACTCCGGTCATCCGGTAAATTCTATTCTAATTGTCACCTGCAAGCGGCTGTCACTTTTTGATGGCTGTTGACATTAAGACGTTCTGGGTTTGGGCTCAGCCAAAATGCCCGACTCTGTGCTTGAGGTCTTGGCAGGATGGGAGGACAGGGTTTAAAATATTATGAAGAAGAAAATCATAAATCTAGGCTGGAGCATAAAAAAGTGGTTTTAACTCCAGTTCATTTACGATTTTGCAGGACTGCAGTAGTCTTAGGACAGCATGTCTACTCAAACAGGAGTTCCTCCGGTATGGAAAACGGCTCATTTGTGAACCTGACACTTCCTCAAGGGCCCGGCAGGAGCGCAGCCATTGTGCCGTCAATCACTGTGTCCAACGAGCAACCTGGGAAGCAATTAGCACATCGTCTTTATAGAACACATCTGACTGTGAAGGACCTCCGTAAGTGGAAAATGACACACAGCTTGGACTGCCCTTGAAATGCAAATTGGGAGAAAGTCTGTCTCTCCCCAAACCAGACTTTTAGGGGGCCCCGAGTGGGCCTGAGAAGTGCCGCTGATGGTGCCGCGGCCAGAGTGTGAAAGCACGGAAACAGGAAGCTCGCTGTGGCAGAGACATGGGCTCCAAGATGGATCCCCTAGCAGCACTACACGGCTCCTTTGTGGGCGAGAGTGGGGATGACAACATGTAAGAAAGAGAAATACCCTTCGAGAAGAGGCGGTCAAGCTTATTAAGTTAATAGGACACCTGACCTTTAGACAGGTGTTACTGACATTTTATAATAAGTACTAACTCTGGAAAAAACGAATCAGTGGTGCCAGCAGTAGAGGAGAAAGCCTTACGCTCCATGTTCCTTACAAAGTAAGAGGTCTGCACATGGAAATACAGACCACTTCAGCCTAAAGACACGTATCTTAACTGAGATATTCATCCTTGATTTTGATCAAAGCAGTGTAATTTTCTGTGGGACAATGAATATACTATCACGATCATGTTTGTCGAGACCTAGCTAGCGTTTTTGGGTTAGCACAAAGCTACACCACCATTGTCGTCATTTTAGAAGCTTCTAGAATGTCCTTGTATTTCTCCATTGGCAGCACCAGCATCATTGCCACTCTACAATGAACGGCACATATTTTTTGCTGCGACTGTCCTCGTCCCTGTGCATTCGTTGTTGTTTTTATCCGACGGCCTCCAAATTAGCATTAGATACACCACACACATCCCCCCCCGGCACCTCCTAGCCGACCGAAAGAAAAAAGATTTGTTTTCCGCCAAAATGCCAAGGACAAGCTCTTCAGCTGGTCCTCTCTGGTGCTCCGAGATGTGCTTGTCAGCGTGGGGGGGGGGGGGGTGTTGGCAGGGACAGTCCTTGTTCCACCCAGATGAGTTGAGTAGGTTGTTCCACCTGCCTTGTGCTTTGGGTCCCTGATTGCATCAGCCCCTGCAATGAACCCCTCCTTTCCCTACCCCGCTCGTCAAGGGCGGGGGGGTGGGGTGGGGTGTGGCTTCATCAGCCTCTCTTTTCCTGCCTTTGGACAGAGCTGGGCGTGCTGCTGTCTGTTCTGTCTGCTACGCTCCTTTTTAAGCCAAAGACTTATTCTCAGCCTTGTCCCCTAGGGCAGGGTCCTCATCTGCCTAGAGTGGCGAGGAGAGACGAACCAGGGAAAAACTCCCGCGTCTGGAAAAGAAGAAACAACCCACCCCCCCATTGTCTTTTCTTGGCTTAGCGAAGCCTACAGGTCGGACTATGAAGAAAGGCGGCCCCTGGAAACGACGGACCGGCATTCCTGCGACAAAGTCCTCCCGGCTGCTCGTCGCCATTCTGCTGGGACTCATCGTCCTCTTCATCTACTTCCACGTAATCCTGTCCTTCCCGTGGTGACAGCGTGGGTACGGCATGCATTTCGGTGGCCGGCCGGACGCCCCCCCCCCCCCCCCCTTGATCCGACTGTATGAATGTTGACTTGAATAAACCTCTGTTAATTAAATGTCACTTCTTCCTGTCGTGCTCTACTCTACCCAAATGGGGACAGCATCGCCCTTGCTCAAACGGCATAGCCACATGCACCCGATGTGATTATCGCAACAGCAAAAGCCAAGGGAGAGGTGCATGTGATCAATACTCAGCAGGGTGTTGAAAAGGACTACATATCCCAGAATGCACTGGGCAGGGGACAGCTTGGATTAATGCCACTTCATTGCAGGCCACATACACTCCATAGGCTACTCCAATACAGAGATACAAAATCAACTAAATTGCAACCTAGAAGGTGACCAGAGTACCTGGAGTACACTCAAGGGAATGCTGGGAGAATAAGCAAGCTCCACACACATAGAGCTGGGAGAGGGAGTCGGACCCTTTGCCCTGGAGGTCTGAGCCAACAGTGATATCTGCCACGCCAGCCTGTAAAAAGTCATTACGTTAGTTAATCTCATTCGGTTGCTTTGCACAAATGGTCGACAGGTATAAAACCTCAATGCTTCATTATTTACGCAGCCGGATAGCCTGCTTGAGGGCCTGGTCCATTCATGGGTGCAGGATGCCAGTCGACGTCGGCCGTCCCGGCTGCATGAGACACGAGCGTCACCAGGCTGCGGTTTTCCTGGCACCTGAGCAGCCGCTTCCTGCGTGACGTTTCCCAGCGAGTCGCTCTCCGATTATCGTTATCCAGCCCCGTTTGCAGCCGTGCAGGTGGCAGCGGGAGCTTGGGGACGATCAAAGCCAAAGCCGCCTACTCCCAAAAGCCGGCCTGCTGTGTAAACACACTGCGTTTGGTGGCCCCTGCATGTCAGGGCTGGAATGTTGTGGATGTAGCGTAGCAACACCGTTACCCAAAGGCTCGGGGAGATAAATCCTCACAAAGTGATGAAGGTTCAGCCCAGAAGCCCAGGCTGTAGCAAAACCTCAAAACAACACACACCCTCACTCAAACTGCAATTTACTGGCTTTAAAAGGGGAGGGGGGGTGGTAATTAAAAAGTGTAATAAAAACCGAATGCTGTTAAAATGGTGGACAGAGTCCACACGTTAGGTGGTTTTTCAGTGGTGAGGGTTTAGCTTTTTTTTTATAGTGGGATGTTAATATTCCAAGCTAGCGGCTAATTAGCCTCACTGTCTGAACACCCTGACCCACAAAGCCAGCACCCCCACCCCCCCAGCAGGCTGTGTCTTTGTCATTTGTGGTCTGTTGCGTGGCCCTTCACGGGATGCGCTCCGTTGCATCTTCCTGACCGGTGAGGACGACGATCTCTCCACTCATTTACTGGCCGACAGGAGATCCTACACCGTTTCCTGCAACCCTGCTGCTCTTCGATAAACGTTGGCGCACGTGGCTGGAGTGTCTTCGCAGCCATTTCCTTCCCGGGACTCTGGGAAGAGGCTGACCTGCCTTCGCGTTCGAGCTGTTTGTCACTGTCCTCTGTGTCCCATTCCTGTTCTAGAATGATCTGAATACTGCCTGGGAGAAACACACAGCTGAAGTAAAAGTTGCAGAGGAATTCATCCATCGGCCACCTGCGGGTCACCCAGCTCTGGTGTGACCTCTCTGCACCCCGTCTGGAAAGCGTCTAGCCTCTGGTCTCATCAGCGTTCTATATATAACGCCTCCGCAGGTTATTTTGAAATCTCCTCATTAAGGGTCTCCTTTACACACACTTTATTCCAGGTGTCCTTGCAACTGAAGTCCCCAGATATCCCCCCACCCCCATAAGACCAGGGGAGGAAGAAATATTGGGTAGACCCAATATCTCTGAGCCAAGTGTGTCTCAGTTCTGCCCCAGAACGGAGGAGCAGGAGTATGACTCCCTTCCTGCAAAAAAATGACCTCATCCAGGAGGTGTTGCCTGATGCCTCAGTATGACATCACTGTGCGTGTGACATCACTGTACCTGTATATGACATCACTGAGCTCCTCCAAGACATTATAAAGCCTATGTGCAACAGCAGGATTCTAGACTGAGACAGTATTGTGCTTGTGTATGATGCCACCATGCTTATATTCAGTTGCATTAAACTTGCCGCTCGCTCTGCAGCACACTGGAGGACATTGATGCTCAACCATGATTAAACGGCACTCAGAAATACCCACCTGAGAAGTCAACCTGAACTAATCCAAGGCATGCTTCCCTTTAAACCATAAAGGGACGATTTCATGCCAGAAAAACACATTCATTTCATTATATTTTTGTAGATCTTCCACCCAGGCCAGAGTGGCCAACCACAGACCATCTGAAGGTTCTCATTAATATTGGCCCTTCCCTCTGTGAACCTTCACCTTATAATTAACTCTGTCCATCCCTTTTCTGTTTGTTTGTTTGGTTTTTCACAAATGACACGTTCGGTATGCTCAGCGCAGGAGGAAGTGAGGAGACCCCCGCCAAGAAAAGCTCCCTGCCTCCCCGCCGAGGGGGTGGGAGAATCTCACGGGGGCCCCACCCTTTTCCAGAGCACAACTTCCAACTTGGCCAACCGCGTGAGCCTGGCAAGGCCACTTCACAACCACACTGATGGCGGAGTCAAAGTGCACCCTGGGGTTTAAAAAAAAAACCTGCCCTATATTTACTTATATTTACATGTGAAGATTTGTAGCGCACATCAGAAGCCCTTTTACGTCATGCATCTATTTCGGCTTGTATATAATTTATATAACGTGCAATTCGTGTATAATTACTAGCCGGCCTCTTTCTGGGCAGCTCCAGGTCTCCCTACATGGCCGAGTGGATCTCAGCACGCCGCTTAGCAAAGTGTCTTATTAAAAATCACACCACGTTTGGTCGGCGTGTCTCCCAGTAACACTGCAGCATAACCCCTATAACTGAGTAACATCATTCTCGGCTCCCGGTTTAACACTCGTTCTGTATTTGTGTCCCTGAGTACTGCTCTGCCTCAATTCTACATGTCTTAGGCAGCAATAACTGAAGACAATAATTTTTTCAATGACTCAAGTAACTGAATAAATGCTAATGTATCTGGATTATGAAATAAGGGATTACGGCTGGAGGGAGGGACAGCTAAACGCCTTAGTATCCACGGCATTTACTCAGGATTCCATAAAGTAGGAGCAAGTTGTCTGGTGATGGGGGGGGGGGGTGTCTTGGCAGCCTGGGGTTTAGAGTAAGGGGGTGAAGGTGCCATGTACCTAACCAGAATCTGATCGAGATGCCTGACTGGCATGAATTCAGAAATTATATAACAAGACAAGCAAATAAAACACATAATGAACTCTATCATAACCATGTAATTACTTACACAAGACTTCCACAGGGCTTTCAATATTGGAAAGGTACTACTGACCATGACCAGAACCCCATGCACAAAATGAGCAGACCACCATACCTGTAAGCAAAACCCTCAAATTACAGTGACCCATCGGCCTTCACTGGAAGGAATATTCCTAGGCAGTGTACGTCTTCCTGGGATATCGTGTGGAATGAGAAAAACGGTTGGGAAGGGACACTTCACTGGCCGACGTGAGACAACTGATATGATAACTGGTCTATGCTGATAAAGAATAAGCCAGAGATGCATTCAGTCTGTGACTCTAAATATGACAGTAAATCAATTTTCCTGCTCCATTAAATGACCTCAGTCAGGTGGCGTCTAAGCTTTCCCAACCAGGGGAGTTTCCCAGAGCAGCCCAAAACACTGCAGGTCCAGGGTTCACAGCTACTACCTGTAAACATTCGATTTCTCTCCCGAGTTTCGGCTGAAACGGAGGTTTTTGGTGCAAGGCTCACTGGCACCCAAGACAGGTTCTCGAGACTCTCTGATCACGTCGAGTCGAAGTAGCTTTATACACAAAGTCGAAACCCAACTTCAGGTGAGAGGGAAGCAACATAAAACCGGTTTTAAGACGAACGTGAGGGGGGAAAGGCGAGTGATAGAGAAGCACAGCCTCACCATGCAAACACAGTCTCAGTCAGTCTACAGTCTCCTTCGCTTTGGTCTGAACACGCACCGCCGTTAATTACATCCAATTAATTTATTCCAATCATGCACGTTTGTAGCTTGCAAGCAGGTGAGGTGAGAAACATGAGTATGTGAGTAATTCCCCCCCAGGGACCAATAAAGTATATCTGCTTACGTACCAATACTGACGAGCTATGACGGTGCAGGGAGCCTCGTGTGATGATGTAATGCACCGAATAGAAGGCGGAGTCCTATGGACCCTCTGATAGCCCAACAATAAAGGAATATAAAGATAAAACATAATAGATGGGCTTTAAAAAAGTCAAAAAAGGGACCAAATAGCCATGTTCTGGTCACTCAAAGAGGGTCCAACACGGCTGCCTTGTATTTAATCAAATCAGCATCCAACCCTCCAAAAATATATATAAAGAACTTTAAAAATGAGAGATAAACAGGGAAAACATGGAGGCCAGAAGCGCATCGTCGCTGGCAGAGACGGCCAGGAACAGATGGCTCCCCCGACAGCCTATATTAAGTGTAGTTAATGAGCCAGCGCTCGCATGATCTCATGCTAGTCTACTTCCACTTAATCTCTATGCGTTTTTTTTTTTTTATATGTCAGCACACAGACTGCGTACACCCACTCCATAAGGAAGGTGGGTGGCTACGGAGTCTCAGTCCCGTCGCCCTGCTCCCTCCCGCTCCTCCCTCATTCTCGGCAGAAACACCTGCCGCATCGTCCTCTCCTACGAGCGCCGAGGAGGACGGAGGGGAGATTATTATGTAAAATATGTCAAGGTGTTGGCTTTTAACCGGTGCTGGGGGTAGGGGTATGTCTGCTATGACATTCTGTCGTAAGCGGGTGACAGTCGGGAGCGTTTTCCTGAGGTTAGGAGGACACCACCCCCTCAGTCCCAGTCCTAAGTGGTCTGGTCTCCGGGACTGTGACCGACACACTCGGGTGCACATTCAGGTG